GACCTTTGCATATTATGTGCATTTCTTTCACGAGTTTTCACGTTGCTTTGCTTTATGTTTACACCTGTCTGTGTCATTTGCCTAGCTAGGAACCGTCTAGGCTCCTCCCACCTCTAGCATGCCCACCCCTTTGCACCCCAACACACCTGTAAGCGCCCCGTTCTCAGCCCCCATCTGGGTCCCCTGCGCCTTGGCCTCTTCCATCTCAGTCTTCAGAGTCATCACTTGGGTCTGAAGCCGACTCTGCGGAGTGGAGTAGAAATGAGGGGGGACGGGAGAGAAAGTGAATGGGCCCGGCCCTTTCTAGGGGAGTCATTTGGGGTCCTGTAGTTGTAAAACACAGAAGTGGCCTCTAAAGTCTGGGGTGAAAGGTGCCTGCTTGCAAGTAGATCGTTGCCCAGGTCCACTGACCCCTGGGGCGTCCCAGGTGGCTCAGTGATAAAAGAATCTGCCTGCCGTGTAGGAGACTCAGAACGCACAAGTTCGATCCCTGGGTGGGGAAGATCCCTGGGAGGAGGAAATGGCAAGCCACTCTAGTATTCCTGCCTGAAAAATCCATAAAGAGAGGAGCCTGGTGGGCTACAGTCCATGGGGTCGCAGAGTCGGATACGACTGAGGGACTGCACACTGACTCCTGCTCCAGGCCAACGATATAGAAAGGTTTAGTTCTGCCCACCGGTTCCAGTTCCAGTCCTAGGTAGATCTAGATTCCTGGGACTGGGGTTTCAGACCAGTACAAGCCAATATGGTGGTTGATGATTGAGTTTCTAGGGTATTGGTCACCTCTGTAGGACATTCTGCCAAGCAATTGGCTTGGTCTCCTCTGAGAATCTTTCATGGGGGCTGGGGGAGAACCATAATTTGAATCCAGGGCAGGCTGCTCTTAACTTCAGCTGCCCCAGACCCTTCCCTTAGGCAGGCTGGAAAGGCATAGGGATGAATTTTCAAAAGGCATGAATTTTCCAGAATTCTTATGCTGCCCAACCTCTGCTGGCCCCAGTACACAGGGGTACACAGTATTTAGTAAATGTGAGTGCTTGGGACTTTGAGGATGGTTCTTCTGCGAAGCCCAGGGTTGAGAAAGAGTTAAGAAAGGGTTAAGAAAGAGTTCCAAGAGGGGTGGCAAGAGGAGAAGGGAGGACCTGGCTGGTACCTCCTCCAAGAGGCCATCTTTAGCTTCATAATTACAGGTGACACGAATGTCCCTCTCTCAAAATAGGGACACTGGACACTGGCTGGGGGGTGGCTGTTGAGTGGGTACTTAGGGGGAGGGTTAGCACAGTGCCCTCCCAGGGGTGCTCAGGGGTCTGGGACAGCCTCCACCAGTGATGGGGCAAATAGCAGAGGATAGTGGAGCCTTTTAAAAATTTTTTTAAAGTTCATTTGTGTCATATATATATTTTTAAACTGGGCTACAATTGCCTTACAACGTTGTTAGTTTCCGCTGTATAACAAAGTGAATGAGCTGTGTTAGTGGAATCTTCTCGGTCAGAAGGTAGACACGAGGGTGAATTGGCCGTGTAGGAGTTGGAAGGAATGGTGCTGTTCTCATTTTCCTCCCTCAGTTGAGGAAGCGGGGAAACCAAGGCACCGAGGGGGATCCCTGGGTGTGTGTGTGCGCACCCTCTCCCCCTCGTTTTCGGGGTTCGCCAGCCCTCCAGCCTGCCCACCTACCTGGCGGCCCTCACAGGCCCTTAGGGCCTCCTCCAGCTCCCGGCGGACACGCTCGGCCTGCTTCAGCCGCTTCGTCAGGGCCTCCTCGAGCCGGGCAGCCTCTGCCAGTCGGCGCCGAAGTTCCTCCACTTCGGGTTCGGGGTCTCCAGGCGGCGCCGTGGTGTTGGCGGCCGGCTCTGGGCAGCGGGGCCTCCGCGAGGCCGAGGAGGCCAGATTCCAGGCCAGAAGGGCTGCTCCGGCAGCAACCGCTGCCAGGAATACTGCGGCCCCGCACAGGGCGAACACCCGCCAGGCGCGCCCCGGCTCGGGCTCCGGCCCGGGCTCGGCCATGCCGCTGTCCACAGCTCTGGCCCCAGACGGCCACGAGCATTTAATTGGCACCTTGGGGAGCCAGGGACACCCACGGTTCCGCCCCTCCCGGCGGTGGTTTCGAGTTATTGGGAGTGGCTGGGCCCACGCCAAGGGCCAGCCCAGGCTACCGGAGCCCAGGACAGGGCTGGGGATCCCGGGTTCCAGTCTTGCTTCTGCATCCCATGACCCTCTAAGCCTCAGTTTCCCCCTCTGTAAACTGAGGATGACAGTAGCCCCTGCTGTAGGGCTCTGTAGGAATCACCTGAGCATATCTGCGCAAAGCTCCCCTTTGCACCAGGGGCCCTTGGCTAGGGTCTGGGGGTATACTGCCCCCCATTCTGTTCATGGAGAGACCAAGCCTAGAGGACGGGAGGCTACTCGAAACAACGAGGTTGGCCTGGTTCGGGCGGCCGCACTTTTTTGTGCGGGCCAGAGCGCAGACCCAAGGGTAGATGCGTCCCATCTCCCTGCTCGTTCTCCACTACGCCACCAGGGGGCGACCTTACAACGTGAATCAGACCCAGGCGCGTCTACACCGTTCCCCTGACTTTCCGGAGTCAAATACTCCTCCTCCCTCTCTACCCTCTTTCATTTCCATTTCCCCTTCCTCCACCCTACTCCCCGCTTTTTCTCCTCCACCTCTATCCTTCCCCACTTCCCATCCTCCCCGGTCTCCTTTCTCCGGCCCCGGCGAGCCCCGCAGGAGTTCTTCAGTGTCATTTCCCGGCCCCTCCAGCCCCGCGCAGTGCTTTTCAGGCCAGCGCATTCCTATCCCAGGGTTGCCCGAGAGACTTCTCCTCCCTCTTTGCCCAACTAACTTCCTTACCAGTGACTTCCCCGTCCGCCCGTGTGTCTCTTCCTCTCCGTTCCCCACTAATTCCGACCCCTTTAGATCTCTCAGCTCTGTTGTCATTTTATGTGTATTTGATTCCAGACTGCCTCTCCCATCAGACTGGGGAGCGTGTGTGTGTGTCTGTGTGTGTGTTGTGTCTGACTCTGCGACCCCCATGGACTGTAGCCCACCAGGCTCCTCTGTCCCTGGGATTCGCCAGGCAAGAATACTGGAGTGGGTTGCCATGCGCTCCTCCAGGGAATCTTCCCAACCCAGGGATCGAACCTGCATCTCATGTATGGCAGGTGGATTCTTTACCGCTGAGCCACTGGGGCATGAGATTGGGTGAGCCCGGAAGAAGTATTCTTCACCTGCCTTGTTCCCACTGCCACCGCGTGNGGGAAGTCTGGCATGCTGCAGTCGATGGGATTGCAAAGAGTTGGACACGACTGAAGAACAACCACTGCCTGAGCGGCTGAGAAACCCTGAGCAAGTCCAGTTACTTCTCTGGACGTCAGTTTCCTCATCTGTTAGATGGGGCTGCTGATGCAGGGTAAAATGCCTCAGTCATTGGAAAGGGACTCCACAGGAGCTTCTGCTGAGCCCTCCTGTGAGCTGGGGACCCAGAAGTGATGGAGACCTGAGCCTCACCTTCTAGAGCTGAGATTCTCACTGGAATTGAGTCTGCGCCCCCAGGGGAAATCTGGTAATGTCTAGAGGCATTCTGTTGTTGTCACAAGCTGGCGGTAAGGTGCTACAGGCATCTGGTAGCAAAGGATGGTACTCAGCATCCTACAGTGCACAGGGCAGCCGCACCACAGAGAATGGTCCAGTCCAGATGGTAAGAGTTCAGAGGCCGAGAAACCCTGCTCTAGAACTTCAGGGTGAGGAGCAGGAGCTCCGAGCAGAGGGCACAGACGGACCGAGGCTGTGAGGCAGGAAGGAACTTGACACATCAATATATAGAGAAATGGTCAGGGTGGGTGGAACAGAGGAAGTTAGGGGATGGGGGGTGTTGTTAGCGGGGCCTGTGGCAGGGATGGGGTTTGGGGACACCTGGGAAGACAGTAGGAGCCGTGGAAGGGAAGTCTAAGACCATCTCGGTTGGGGCTAGAGGGCGGTGCAGAATCCTGGGCAAACACAAGGGGCCTGCCCCTAGTGCTACACACAAAAAGTTGCCTGGACAATAGTTGGCATTCCAGGAGAACTTGGAGGAAGGAAGATAACAGGGGAGGAAGGAAATAGGGGCCATGGGAGGGTCAAGGAAGTGGGTTAAAGGGTCTATCAGACAGAGGCCTTCAACTTTGAGCCCCTCCCAAGTTTTTCTTTTTCTCCTTCTTCTTTCTTTCTCTTTTGGTAGCGCCATGTGGTTTGCAGGATCTCAGTTCTCCAATCAGGGACTGAATCTGGGCCGTGGCAGTGAAATCCTGGAATCCTAACTACTAAGCTACCAGGGAACTTCCCGTACCTAACCTTCAATTTTGAGAAGCAGAGAGGCTCTCTGGGGGAGGGGTTCCCAGAGCTGGGTACTGCAGGATGAATAAGAGTTTGGGGCCGGAGGTGGCAGGGCAATGTGACAGAGATCTGTCCTGTGTCTGCACCTCTAGGTTTAACTCCCAGCCCTGCACTTTCTGCTGGAAGGGATTGAGAATCAGGACAAAGTGTTCCTCATCACAGCCACAGTTTCCTCAGGGAACCACTGTCATCAGAAGATCCAGCCAGGAGATGAGAGCAGAAAACTGCAGGCAGGGAGTACTGACGAGGATGTAGGCCCTCAATAACTCAGTTGGTAAAGAATTCGCCTGCAATGCAGGAGACCCTGGTTCGATTCCTGGGTCGGAAAGTCCCCCTGGAGAGGGGATAGGTTACCCACTCCAGTATTCTTGGGCTTCCCTTGTGACTCAGGTGGTAAAGAATCTGCTCGGAATGCGGGAGGTCTAGTTTGGAACCCTGGGTTTGGAAGATCTTCTGGAGAAGGAAAACACTACCCACTCCAGTATTCTGGCCTGGAGAATTCCATGGACTACAGGGGTCATGACATGAGTGACAAAGAGTCGGACATGACTGAGCGACTTTCTCTCTCACTTTCAGAGGAGAAGAGGGCTGGGGGAGGGGCAGTGGGGTGGTACCTGCCTGAACCCCAGAAATCCCAAGGAACATTCTAGAGCACAGGGGCTGAGTTTGGATGTCAATAGGTGTCCACAGGGCAGGCCCCAGGTGCTTGGAGGTGACACAATAACACTCCAAAAACTTGAGAGTACAATTTCCCCCCACAACGGGGTGTTTACTTTTTCTAGCCAAATGACGCCAGAAGAAAGTGACTTTCTAGAAACCGTGTCAGCAAGAAGCGGGTGCCCCATTCTTCACCCCTGAGCCCTCCCCAAATCTAGGGCAGACTTGGGCCAACTCCCCTACTTCTCCACGCAAGACATCCCTCCAGAGCTGGTCGGTCTTGGACCCCTTAGGTTACCCCATCCCCCCACCCCCCACAACCGCCTTGCCATGTGGTCCCCTTAGAGCTGGCCAAGTCAGGAAGCCTCACAGGGAAGCAGAGAGGGAGCCAGACCAGTCCAGGTTGTGGCCTAAAAAACATCAAAATAGGGACTCAGGTACTTCCCTGGCTGGTAAAGCCTTTGCACTTCCAATGCAGGGGCCGCGCGTTCGATCCCTGGTCTGGGAATTAAGATCCCACATGTATGCAGCGCGACCAAAAAGCAAAAATTAAAATAAATAATTTTTAAATAGAAAACGAAAAACAAAATACGGGCTCAGAGACGGGCAGAACACAGGCCCCGCCCCCAGCCCCGCCCCCACAGGACCTCCCTACTCACTGGGTGCTCCCTCCCTTTCCAAGGTCCTTCTCCGTGTCCAGCCCTCCACCCCACAGACAGGCCACCTCCCCAGACCCTGACCCAGCCCAACTCCCGGCCCCTCCGAGCTTTCTTCTCCCGCGAGCTGCCCCTTCCTTACCAGCCGGCTTCCTGGGATCTCATGGCAGCGGAGCGTTGAGGACCAGGACCGCGACCACAACGAATAGGAAGCTCGAGCAGCTGGACGCGTTGTTTCTGGAGGTCTCACTCTGTCTTCTGGAGTAGAGATCCGGGCCACTCAGGCAGCTGCCGGGCCGCTCGGGCCGCTCTAGGCTTCTCCCCTAAGAATCTGCACTCCTCCCCGCCAAATTGCTGGCCATGAGAGCGAGCAGCCGCCCGCCCCCGGCTGTGTGACAGATGGGACGAGGCTGGGACTTAAACTTGGTCGCCTGAGCACCGAGGATTTTTCCCCGAGCTCAGGCGGTCGGGAGTCGGGTGAAAGGGGCGTGCCCCGGGGGATCCTCTCAGACCTTAGTCGCTCCACCTCGGCCAACGCGTCCTTCAGCTTTTGGTTCAATATCTTCAACTCTCCTGGTTAGGGGGTGGGGTCCAGAATCAGGGGCAGGTCGACACGGTGACCACACCCACTCACCTGGCCCTCGCCCAGGACAGGACTCTCCAGGCCCTCATCGGGCCCCTGCTGGGAAAGCTGGAGCCCCCCACCCTCTCCCCGGCTCCACCCCTCCCTGTCTCCCGACCCCAGCCCTGGGACCCTCCCTCCCTACTTCTTTTCAACACCGGACCCCCACCGCCCCCCACCGCGGAACCCGGGCTGTGTTTTTCTCACCCTGAAACTCCGCCACCTGGGCCTGCTCCTTCTTCAGAGAGCCCCGCAGCGTCACCTGGGTCAGAGGGGAGGGTCCAAACCTGGCCTCCTGTGCCTGGGTGCTGGACCCTTTCCTGAGCTCCGGGATCGGAGGCGCTCAGATGCACACCCCCTTCATTTCCCTCCCAACCCTTCCCCTGCCCCTCAGTCCTCTACCTTGAAGAATGGGCACAACCTCCCACCCTCCTCGGGCCACCCATGAGTGTGATCCTCAAAGTGGGAGTTTTGAGGCCCCCCCCCCCCACCAAGAGAATTTGCAGGCTTCCTATGCCCTAAAAGAAGTTTCCAGATCCACTGGGGGTATTGCACAAAATTTGTTTTTTTAATATTTATTTGAAAAAAAAAGTTTTATTTGGTTGGACTGGGTATTAGTTGCAACATGCTGGACCTTTAATTGCTGCAAGTGATCTAGTTCCATGACCAGGGATCAAATCCATGTCCCCTGCATTGGGAGCACAAAGTCTTAGTCACTGGATCACCAAGGAAGTCACTAAAGAATATTAAGAGGTCCTCCTAAAACCAGAAAATGGGGTGGGGTGCGGGTAGGGGAAGATTTCAGAGCCCAACTTAGATGTCCCTGAGAGTTTCAAGGTCCTCCATGTTAGAACAGACGTGAAAATTTCAAAGGCTCTCAGGATGCAGTGGAAGGAGCTGGGGAGGTCCTCTTCCCAGCCCCTAGAGGGGAGTTCTGCTCCCCAAGATTGGCCCAAGTGGAGTTTCTAAGTCCCCCCATTCAAGCGCCAGAGTTTAGAGATTCTTCATACCCTACAGGGACACTGACGCCTGTAATGGGAGTTTTAAAGCTCCCCACACCAGCACCCCAGGGAGAGTTAGAGGTCCCCAAAGCCTGGTGGAGACGTCCAGGGGGCAGTCTCAAGGTCCCTCTGGATCTCCACAAAGACCCTGGGAGAGCCTCCCAAGTACCCAAGCCTGTCTAGGGGTTGCAGTGGCTTACCACAGTCTGGTTGCAGGTGGCAGCTTCGGCTTCCTTCTCCTGTAAAACTTCCTGGGCCTGGTTTAGCTGGCGCTGCAGGTGTTGGTTGAGCCCCTGACACTCCGTCTGTGCTCGGAGGCCATCCAGGCAGGCCTCGCTGTTGGCCCTGACAGCGAAGTAGATCAGGGGCGCCAGCAGACCCACCGCCACCAGGAGCAGCAGGAGCACCAGCCACAGCGGCAGCTTGCGACGGGTCAGGATGAATTCCTCCAAGTTGTCCACCATGGGTACTGGGCTGTAGTGATAAAAAGTGGGTGCCATAAGGGAACTGCCCTTAGGGAAGTTCCAACACGAGTTATAGGAGGTCGCTGGAACCCCTATGGGCTCGGGCTGCCCCCTGATTAGCATAATAGCCGTGCTGACCAAAGAGAAGCTCCAGGACGATCCTCTGACCTGGAGACACTTGAATGGAGCCTGTGCAGGCAGAGGGCAGCCAGGCTTTCGGTTTAGGTTTTCAGGTTTGGTTTCCTTTTTCATTTTCCTGCAAAAAACTGTGGGTTTCTTTTGCCAAATTCTGGCCTTGGGCTTTCTGGGTTGGATGCTGGCCGGTAAGATCCTGTGAGAGGGGAGTGGGGCTCCCTGGGACACCCCATGTCAAGTCCTGGCCCTTCTCCCACATGGATCTGAGGGAGACAGTTGCACTTACCGAGCACCCGGTGCACGCCAGCTCTGTGCTCGTCTGTACCACAAACGGAAGAGGCAGAGGGCGTTTTCTGGGCCGCAAATCCCCAGCTGGGAGAAATGAAGGCTGAGACGTGAGTGGTGACTAGGGCGGTGTTGTGTCTGGCTGAGGAGGCTGGGTTTTGAATTCAGGGTCTCCGGGTGACCTAGCCGGGGTTCACGTAGCATCCCTGATCCCTGCTGGGGGGACCACGGGGAGCCCTGGAGGAAGTCAGAGGAGGGACCACGTCCGCTGGGAGGGGTACAAGGTCTGGGTGTATCCACGTGAACAAGGCTGCAGTTCCTGCATTTGGCCACTTGAGGACGCACCAGACAACAAACAACCACCCAGGCCCTTGTCCCGGCTCCAGGCAGGAACTTGTTCTTACTGCCAGCATCTGCCTCTGCCACATGGGGACGTCACATAAACCCTCTGAACAGTCACTGAACACTGCCTTAAGGGTCCTTCCCAGGGCAGGATCTTCCCCCATATCTTCTGTTTTAGCTCCTTTATGAAGTATGGAGGTAATAGTATCTAGTACACGTTCCTGAGTTGTTTTTACAGGTGTGAAAATGCCACCTCCCTTCCTCCTAGCCCAGCCACACACACCAAATGGAAGATGTTAACTGCTTGAGGATCACGAGCATGTAGCCCCCAGGCCTACTGGTGGAAAAGGATGTTAGCCCCTGTGACCTCACCATCAGTAACTCAGAGAATTGTCCCATACCCTGCGTCCACTCGCCCCTCACCTGAGCCTTGAAAATGCTTTTCAGAAACCTTTGGAGGGTTCAGGATTCTTTAGGGCATAAGCTACCTGCCTCCTTGCAGGGCCCTGAAATAAAACTTTCTCTCTTACAAACTCCATAATTTCTGTATGTTTGTCCTCACTGTGTGTTAGGCACATGGACTTCTGTTAACAGAACCTCAGTTTCCTCATCTGTAACTTGGGGCCATAACAGGAGCGGCCTCATCAGGAGGGGCCAGTGAGGAGCTTTGAGTAAAGTGCTTTGGCACCCAGCGGGCTCTCAGTGGAGGAGGTGTGGCTGGGCATGTGACCCAGGGCCGGACCGGGGGGGACATGGAAATAAGGCCCAGGAAGAGGAGTACATTTAGAGGAAAGAAAGTCAGATCGATTTGGGACACTCTGAACCCAAAAGACCTGGGCAGGGGGTTTCTAGGGAGAGACCTCCAAAGGGGGTGGGTGACATTCCAGGGAATTCAGGCTGCACTGATCTCCCCCCCTATGACCAAGGGAACCAGAACTTCCAGCTGGAGATTGGCCTGATTACACACTTCGTGTTGCAGGAAGTGAGTTCTGGAAGGCAGCTGTGCAATTGTCTAGTGGCTTCTTTAAGGACAGCCCACCACTACCCAGATTCTGAGGGCTCAGACATTTGCAGGGTTTGCGGTCAGCTGGATCAGATGGCACGTGGGCCAAAGCCAGGGATCCCGGTCCTCAGGATGACACCCCTCTGCCTAGTTACACTGCTCAAGGCGAAGACCCACTCCAACAACTCAACACATGATTCTACACGTGGACGTCACCAGACAGTCTATCTGACATCAGACTATGTTCTTTGCCACCGAAGATGGAGAAGCTCTATACAGTTAGCAAAAATAAGACCTGGAGCTGACTGTAGCTCAGATCATGACTCCTGATTGCAAAATTCAGGCTTAAATAAAAGCAAGTAATACCACTTCTGGGCATACACACTGAGGAAACCAGATCTGAAAGAGACACGTGCACCCCAATGTTCATCGCAGCACTGTTTATAATAGCCAGGACATGGAAGCAACCATTACAGCAGAGTTGATGAATAGATTCAAAGGATTAGATCTGGTAGACAGAGCGCCTGAAGAACTATGGACAGAGGTTTATAATAATGCACAGGAGTCAGTGACCAAAACCTTTCCAAAGCCAAAAAAGTGCCCAAAGACAAAGTGGCTGACTTGGTCGTGTCCGACTCTTTGCGACCCCGTGGACTGTAGCCCGCCAGGCTCCTCTTTGCATGGGGATTCTCCCGGCAGGAATCCTGAGTCGGTGGCCATGCCCTCCTTCAGGGGATCTTTACAACCCAGGGGTCGAACCCCCTGCATCGCAGGCAGGTTTTAATGTGCGACACCAGGGTTGTCTGAGGAGGCCTGACAAATAGGTGGGGAAAGAAGGAAAGTGAACGGCAAGGGAGGAGGGAAAGATAAACCCAGCTGAATGCAGTTTCAGAGAACAGCAAGGAGACATGACAAGGCCTTTTCCAGGGAACAATGCAAAGAAATAGAGAAAGACAGTCGAATGGGAAAGACTAGAGAATTCTTCTAAAAATTGGAGCTATCATGGGAACATTTCAGGAGCTAAGAGAAACAGAAATAATTAAGAAAAGGTGGCACGAACACACAGAAAAACCATATAAGAAAGATCTTGTGACCTAGATGACCATGATGCTGATGTCACTCACCTAAAGCCAAACGTCCTGCAGTGTGAAGTTAAGTGGGCCTTAGGAAGCATTGCTATAAGCAAAGCTAGTGGAGGTGATGGAGTTCCAGCTGAGCTATTTTAAATCTTAAAAGATGATGCTGTTAAAATGCTGCCCTCAATCTGTCAGCAGATTTGTAAAACTCAGATCTGGAAGAGGTCAATTTTCATTCCAATTTCAAAGAAAGGCAATGCCAAAGAATGTTCTAAGTACCATACAATTGTGCTCATTTCACATGCTAGCAAGGTTTTGCTCAAAATCCTTCAGGCTAGGCTTTAGCAGTACAGGAACCAAGAACATGCATTGTATTAGGTGGATTTCAAAAAGGGAGAGGAATCAGAGGTCAAATGGCCAACATTCTTGGATTGTGGAGAAAGCAAGGGAGTTCCAGAAAACAATCTACTTTTGCTTCATTGACTATGCTAAAGGCTTTGACTGTGTGGATCAGAACAAACTGTGGAAAATTCTGAAATAGGTGAGAGTACGCGACCACCTTGCCTGTCTCCTGAGGATCCTGTATACGGGTCACAAAGCAAATGTCGAATTGGACCTGGAACCACTGACTCGCTCAAAACTGAGAAAGGAGTGAGGCATGGCTGTGTGTCGTCACCTGCCTATTTAACTTTATGCAGAGCACAACATGTGAGATGCTGGCCTGGATGAATGGCAAGTTGGATCAGGATTAGCGGGAGAAGTATCAACAGCCTCACATTTGCAGAGGACACCACTCTAATGCAGAAAGGGAAGAGGAACTAAAGAGCCTTCTTGATGAAGATGAAAGAGAAGAATGAAAAAGCTGGCTTGAAACACAAGATTCATAAAACTAAGATCAAGGCATCTGGTCCCATCACTTCATGGAAAATAAAATCAGAAAAAGCATGGGACAGATT